TTAAAATCATAGAGAAAAGGTGGATTGTTTGTCCCCATTTTACAGACGGCAAAAGTGAGGCATCGAGCGGCTCAGGGACATGGCCAAGGTCACGAAGAAAGTCTGTGGCAGAGCAGGGAATTGACCCCCCCCCCCCTCGGGTGTCCTACCTCACAGTTCAGTGCCTTACCCCGGTGGCTCTCAACCAGAGGTATGGTACCCGCACAGTACACAGTGGTCTCTCAAGGGGTACAGCAGCTCCGCTAGCTATTTGCCTAGTTTTGCAAACGTAAAAAGCACTCGCCAAGTCAGTACAAACTAAAGTTTCATACAGTGACTTGTTTAGAATCCTAGAACACTAGAACAGGAAGGGACCTCGAGAGGTCATTGAGTCCAGTCCCCTGCCCTCGCGGCAGGACCCAGCACTGTCTAGACCATCCCTGACAGGTGTCTGTCTAACCTGCTCTTAAATATCTCCAGAGATGGGGATTCAACAACCTCTCTAGGTAATTTATTCCAGTGTTTAACAACCCTGGCAGGCAGGAAGTTTTTCCTAATGTCCAAGCTCATGGCTTAGCTGGCTCTACACGCTGAATGGAAGTACAGCATTTCTGTTCCGATTGTTTTATTTTAGACCTGTACTGTCCATGCGAGGAAGTCAGCCATTTTCTAGGAACAGTGCACTGGGACATCTTTGCATTTCTAGGTCTGATGTTGTAAGCGAGTCGTTTAAGTGAGGTGAAATTGGGAGGGGGGAGGGCGGCGCAAAACAAACCAGGCTCCTGAACGGGGTACCACAATCTGGGACGGTTGAGCGCCACGGTCTGAACCCCGCCTCCCTCCAACAAAAACAATCACGTAGCCTGAAAGCAAGAGAGAGGCAACCTTAGCTAGAGATTTCAGGTCTTGCACTGTTGCAGCCGTGGGCGCTCGCCCCTAAAAGAGATTCATGAAACTGCTTGGCTCCGGGGGGAGAAATCCCAGACGGGCGGACACCCAGATCTGCCCGCAGCACATGCCTTACACAACCTCCCTCTCCTCCGGCCCTTCTCCAGGCAGCCAGGAAGATGCGGCATCTTCAACACAAGGTAGCAATGATCAGGCTGCAGTGACAACAAGAATCTAATGTTCTCCCCGCAACAGGCTGTGTTCTCCTCCCACCCAGGCGATGGAGCTGCCCTGACTTCTCCAGCGTGGCTCCCGACTCCCCTGGGCCTGGTGCTATCAGACCCTATTGTACTTTGGGCATCCTCCTTCAAAGACAAAGGCAGATCCGGCCTCTGCGGTAATGCAGAAACCTGACGCCCGAACTTTCCACCCTTGTCATGCCACAAACAGTGGCGTGTGACATTACGGCGGAAGCAGCAGCATGTCGTCTCTACAAATATTTACACATCTCCAACTCACTGGGCACCCTCGCAAAAACCGGCCTCCTGGTTTTAAGTCTCAGAGGGGCAGCTGTGTTGGCCTATATCTGCAAAAACAAGGAGTCCTGTGACACATTCGAGACTAACAGATTGATTCAGGCATAAGCTTTGGTGGGTAAAACCCACTTCATCAGATGAACTGGAGTGGAAATTACAGAGGCAAGGGTATGGTGACTAGATTAGCCTCATTAACACTGCTCCTACATTTGACAAGTAACTTCTTTCTTTTGTTGTACACACACACACACACACACACACACACACACACACACTGTAATTTCCACTCCAAAGTCATCTGATAAAGTGGGCTTTACCCACCAAATCTTATACCCTAATACATCTATTGGCCCTGGTCTACACTAGGGAGTTATTTCAAAATAACCCTCCTGATTTTTAAATAACTAGCAGCGCGTCCACACTACCAAGCCCGTTATTTTGAAATAAGGGGCTGGTTATTTTCAAAATAACTCCTGCTTTCCTCGGGGAATAACACTAACTTCAAAATAGTTATTCGAAAAAATAGTTATTTCAAAGCAGCGGTGGTGTGGATGCTCCAGTGCTGCTATTTCTAAATAATTCCCCCCCAGAGTAATGCAAACTAATTGCTCCCCGTGCTTCCTAGGGACCTTCATCAAGGTAAGCACGTCCACAATAACTGAGCCTGCCTCGAACTAATTTCGAGACTCCCCCATAGTGGGGAGCATCCTATTTCAATTCTGATTTTTCAGGAGTTATTTCAAATTTAGTAATTTCGAAATAACCTCCTAGCGTAGACATGTCTTTAGTTTCTAAGGTGCCGCAGGACTCCTTGTTGTTCCTCCTGTTTTTAAGTGACTCTGCGGAACGACGGAAGAGTTATGCTACTGTTTTCTATGAAGGATTCGTGGGTTCTCCAAACACCAAGAGCAGCCACGTATTTTCAAGTCAGAGTTTCAAATTTTCAACTGATTAGCGACTGTGCAAGAAAGAACAAACGTCAAGCTTTCCAGCGAGAGCAACCCTCCCTCTGGAACAGTCTGCATGGGGTGGATTCAGATTTAAAGTTGCAGGACACAAAGCGAAGGCAGGAAAGAGACACAACTCATGACACTACAAAGGAGTTTGGATGCCACTTTGGCAAGAAAGAGGGGGAAAGGAAAGAGCAAGGAACAGTGAAGACGCTAAGCTAGGGAGAAACACGCAGTCTTCCCTCTGCCGTTGGTAGGTCCACCCAAGGAAAATCGTGCACCACGATAAGAAGGCATAGGCTCTGCAGCCGCACAGCTCGTAGGGGGATATCTATAGCCCCTTTCTGTGGTACTCCCGCGCCCCCAGCTGCAATAACTACCCACCACTTCCCAGGCATAGATCTCCAAGAGCTTGACAGTGTTACCCTGAGTGACCTATCCCACCCACCACACGTGCTACCTTGCTGGGATGTGGGCATTCGTCTATCCATGGCTCGCCATGGTATCGTTCCTCCTCATCACTGGCAGACATGGAGGGGCACTGGGATCACTCTCGCAGTCCTGCCCGTTTCTGTTTGTCGCTAGTACAAATTCGGACAAATTCGCCCATCGCAAGCTAAACGACCCCATTCATTCAGCGCTCCATTCTCTGGCCAGCCTGGCTCGAGGAGCGGAAGGGCTCGGGACGTGCTTTGTAACTCTTGGGACAAAACCGCCGGTGCCCTCTCGCCCAGATCCGAGCCCCCTACATTTTGAGCGGATCTGACGTCTGGGGCTGGCATGCGCCTGTAGCCAGACAGGAACCCCCCCCTGCAAAATCCATCTTGCTTGCCCCCTTTTAGGTGCCTGGAGCGCACAGGGCATAGAAAGCATAGTCTTGACAGGCGGCCCAGATGTGCTGGCTCATCGTGACCCTGGACAACTGGAAACACAGATGCGAGAGGGCCATCAGCCAATCAGATGACCTAGAGGATGCGAGACCTGCCGTGGCTGGCACCTATATTGATACGATCACAAGGCCGTCCCTGAAAGGGGAAGCTGAGAAAAGAATGTCCAGTACTCCCAATTTAGTGCTCTCTCTTCCAAGTGTAAATTACGTTCACACTCCCTTGTAAGAACTGGCATCACAAAGACGAACCAGCACAATTTGGCATCTTAGATAAGAAAGAGGATACGGGCCCCTACGGGAATAAAGATGGATCCAGCAGCACACTCGCTCTGAGCGGCAATCTACCATCTACCTGCTGGTTGGGTTAGGTGTTTGCCTCCCGAGGTCCACGGGGATGTTCAGCCTCGTATTCGTCTTTCCCGGGAATTGAGGGACGCTGGAATCGAGGGACGCAGAAGGGGGTAAAAATTGTACCTGTATGTGTCCTTTTGTTTTAGTGCATGCATAGAATAGAGCTCTTTAAAGATTAAGCTGTCCCTTGGTACCATTACTTTCTATCTTCTTTTTTCCTTTGTAACCATTTTAAGATCTGCATTTGCTAGCAGTTCAGAAGTAGAACAATAGCCATTGTAACCACATGCTTTAGAAACCTCTTTAATAAACCTGTAACTGTTTAAGCTTTCACCTGACTCCTCCTGTTGTTGTAACAGAACCAGACACAATTAAAAGAATGCCAGCTGGTCTTTGGGGCAGACGCAGTGAGAGCCGGGCGTTTGGATCGTGTCAGCTCCAGGGGACAGATCCGTGGGGCACCTGTCAGCCTTCCCTAGGCTGCCCACTGCGAAGGGACCGTGTGTCCTAGCAGTTGAAGACTCGGGTGTATAACACACACACACCACGCACTGCCCTGACCATCGGCTGACAGCGCCTCCAGCACTTAACCAGAGGTGCCGAAGAGCCCCGGCACAAGTAGCCAAGCGCTGCAAGGCAGTGCCCGGGGACGGTTCAGAGCGTGCTAGTTCCCACCGGCCGGTAGCAGGGCTGGCTGAGAGCAGGATGCTGCCTGCCACGGTGCTGAGACACTCGGCCCCACTTATCCCTGCAGAGGTAACCCCAGAGGGAGCCTGCAGCCGCAGCCAGATGGCCCTAGAGGGCAATTCCCAGTAGAGCCCCAGTCTGTTCTGCCGAGGGTTGGGTGAGCTGGCAAATACCCCGGCCAACAGGCTCCGGAACCAGCTCCCCACAGCTGAGCTAGCGGCGCTCTCCTGCCCCGTGGCCCAGTGCCGGCTTGCTCCATACCTCAGCCAAACCTGCTGGAGCATTTTCATGAGCTGCCATCTCTTTGTGCTTGGAGGGGCCCCAGAGCCATGTGGACAGCCAGGCCCTTCTTGTCACATGCAAAGCCAAGCTTGGAGGGGGGGTCTCGGAGGCATGTACCCCCCCACACTCCCCTCTCCTCCCTCCGGAGGCTTGCTTGATGGGTTGCCTAGCAATTGGGGGCATGGCATGACCCATAGAGCCCTAGGGGCCTAGCTGCCTGGCTGTGGAGACCATGGGAACTGCCTGAACTCTGTCCTGCCCCGAGAGAGGGAGGAGTGCATGGCAGGGGGTCCCCTCAGACGGGCCCTCAGGGCGGTGCAGCCTGCGCGTGACTCCCCACGACACCCGCCCCTGGTCCAAGGAGCTTTGAGAGGCCGCTTCGCGGGGGCCCCACGTCCCCCACAGAGACTCCCCCCCACATCCCCAGCTGGTACTCACCCCACAATTGGCCAGCGGGGGTAGGAGGCAGAGGCCTGGGGCGAGCCTTGAGGGCCGTGGCCACAATCCTGAGGGGACCCCGGTACTCCA